TATTGCCACGCTTTCCAAGTTTCTCACAGCCACTTTGGCTGTATCGCCTTTTGCTTGTAGTAAAACTGGATGGCACATATTTTCAAATGACGCACGGTTCGCCTAAGTGGATAGGATTGCAACACAAGGCGATCACAGGAGGTCCACGCAATTGTATGCCAGCGGATAAAGAAAGATGGCAGACGACTGCGAATAATCGACCAAGCAATCGGTTTAGTGTCAGCACTTCATTGAATTGCGAAAACATCCTGCCTCATCTGTCGTGAATATGGACAAATTTTAATTCATAAAACTACCCATTGCAACAATGTGTGAACGTGTGAGAGGGAATAGTTGTCACCTCCATAAACCACATTTCGGAATTCACTGTTCATAGTCATAGTGCCCAGACGAACACTTGAGCAAAGTTAATAGTTAAGTATTTGCTTGTGCACTTTTGATCATACCTTTATTAAGGTGCCTTATATAAAACAGAGAATATATGCTTTTATTTACTTAGTTGCTATGGTTTGACCTCATTGCAACAGGTCAATATAGCTTTAGTATTGCCGGAACATTAATTTTTGGCTGCAGTCAACATAAAACTGAGTACTTAATTTCGTATTGTTTTAGCATACAAATCAGTGTTATATAGGTTTGCATTGGGCAACGTTTCGTGCTTGACGCAGGAGCATTTATGCAATTCGGCTCCTCTCTCAGGGGTAAAACAAAACTACCATACAAGACTTTACAAACGGTTTTGTACCCCAAATACCACCAAAATTTGTGTTCTCAGATGCTACTGTTTATTCTAAGATACTGCCTAGCATAATCATAAGTTACTCTTTCGAGCTATTAAAATTGCTTTAGCATGCTGTTTTCAAACGCTGGCTCAATTCATCCGAAGCAGCTCCATGAAATGGTGCTCAAGCATTCGCGCGTTTATCTTTGAATATTATGGGCTTCCCTTCGTCATTGCTTGACAGCAACTGTTTGAAATTTAAACTAAGGGGCTGAAACCTACCCTTTAAATACCGGCTTTCCGTTTGACAACGGTGGTAGTCATGTTGTCTGAAAATTGATTGGGAGAATTGGTAGGGAACCAACTGGCTAAGTTCAACCACAGTATTGCACCGCAAGGATTCCGTACGGGATGTTCGCGTCTGTCAACTTTCCTTGTTGATCGTGAAAATTGTGTTAGGGCAGCGGACAGTGGTCCAGCTGCCCACCGGCGCTGCGTTAACATTTTAAAAATTTGTTTTTGTCCCCACTTGATACAAACCATAAAGAAAGGAAATTTTAGATCTAGACACTGCGAGACGCCCATGCTATGGCAGTATCATGGTGATACAACAAAGCTTAGTAAAGGTAAAAGCGACACAATTTAATAAGTAGATACGGACCCAGGGTTTAGTTGTGTGAAAATGCATGTAGGCAAGTATGTGTGTAGTGAGTTGCTTAGATTTTTAAAGTTGATGCCCTAGTCGTGATAATTTTCGGTCAGACCGTCAGCGTAGGAAGGAGTAAACGAAATATTCGTATTGGATGCCTAGGCCGCGAAGTGGATAAATCAGCCGGATAGGTTATAGAGCAGTTAATTTTGCTAGTGACGAGTCACATGCGAGACATTAAAGTGTTGACAAACTATCGTTCGTGGGTTTTAGTATAGCGTACGTTTGCCAGCCAAAAACCCACCACAAGCTATCTGGTCCTGCCTTCAAATGGGCTTCTGCATTGCGTGGTCGGCGAGAGGTGCATGGACCAGCGAAGTTGAGACCTTCTCATAAGCAGCATGTTCTTAGTGGCTTTTCGCGGAACTCGCTTTTAAGGCCACGGCTGCTCGCAGGTTATATAAAGTGTCCAAGCAACTACCTTGAGATACTACCACCACTCTCGTGAAACCTTTAAGTGTTGGATCACTGTGAATACCTAATGGGCCACCAAGACAATTCAGAGCGCCTACAAGCCTGTGGAATTGGGTAACCTTATGGTCGACCAGCGTGTAAGCAAATTGTTCAGTGCGCTGCGCTGAAGCTGCTAGTTACCCCAGGACGTTTGTTGTTATCGAAGTAAGATGCAGCTTGGTACCCGGCTAGTTGATCTAGGCGACCTCCAGGCTGGAGTCATTCCATCCGATGACAGCTGGTAAAATGGCAACAGCAGAGGATTCCGCAAGTTATCAGCGGCTTCTTTGACGACTTTACTGCTGGTGATCTTGCTAAGCTATCTTCGGATTTTGTAAACAAAACTCGGATTGCTCTGTCTGGGCTTGCGAACACGCCATCTATTGGACGTAATTCAACTGAAATTCGTTTTACGATTAGGTACTATGTCAATGCGATGTTTACGAGGATGAGCAAATTAAGAAGGATTGACTAGATCGGAAATACACTCAGTACAATATCGTAGACGTGATAAGCAAAGACCTCACGTCAGCGTATACAACAAAACAAACTTGGACCAAACGTGCCCCTACAATTTCGGCCGGCTAAATAGCCCAACTTTCGCATTCATCCGCGTTGGTGCACAAACCGCACTCCGACCAGGTTGGGACAGAGAATGTTTTAGCACACGCAGTTTTTAAACAACCGAAGTCGCTTCTGGAGCACCAAAGTTCATAAATACAGGCTAATATCTAGAGACTAGGATTGCAAAAGCAAACTTTCCCACAACGTAGTGCTAGGTAATTTGGTAAAGGCTTAATTCACGACCATTCCACACGCTGACTGCAAGTCATTCTATCATACAGCGGTGCATATCGGAGAATGCAAGGTAGCCTCAGCGTGGTTTCGCAACTAGGTACGAATCCAAAGCACGCCTGAGGCGGTCTGCAGTTACTCAAAAAATATACTAATCAGACAGATAACCATCTTAATGTGGCCGCGTACCACGGATGACTTGTGTGTCGACGGAGCATTGTTACCCTAAAAGTGCCGCGAATAAGAAACAAACTACCAACTCCAATTAGCCTTGCTTACACCAACGGAGCATTCTAAAAACGATTTTACCACATGCTAGCAAATTTGCATTACGTGTTGTAGCCCATTTAAATTGGTGGATGAAATAATATACAAGCGAGTGAAAAACAAACTACACAACGTGGCGGTGGTGAAACGTTTTGGCAACCAGCTAAATAGGTTAAATGATCCACGAAAAGCCCGAATATTCCCATTTTGTTGTCGCTTCCTTACTTGGGCTTTACAATCCGTCGCACGAGATCTATAAGGAAATAGTATGTTATGTTAGGTTTGATACCCAGAATCCTCATATTCCTTTTCAGTTCCACTCATTCCTTGCCATTAACAGGCGAGTTGAGTGAACGCAAGGCCGTATAAGCTTTGTGTACCCAACTTAGTGCATCTATAGCAATCCACATCATAAACTATGAATTTCTAAATTGTAACAATTAAAAATGCCGTTTAAGAAAAGGTAGTAAAATGAGGATTCACTGTCTTAGATTGACAGAGCAAAGATCCTAAAAAGCTGAGCTAAACTTTCAGGATTTTTATCCGTTCAATACGGGGCACGTTAGATAAAAATGTTTCTGAAACGGGCCCTTCGCCTTGATCTCGAAGCTTTGGAGTGGTCACACACCCACAATATGGTGTCCGAAGGGCGCGTTCAGGCGCCACAAATGTGCTGGTATCTAGGGAAAATGGGCGAGATCCTTAGTTGTTGGTAAGCGCCTTGATGCCTTGATTGTTGATTTCATCAAGGCTTTTGGGTAGGTACCGCATGAGCTGCTCCTCTTCAAACTCTGAGGAATAGATGTCACTTGGAGTTTGCTTTCCGAGGTCTCAGATTTGTTAGACGCTTGCGCTATGTATTGGCAAAGTCAACGAAGGGCTTTCTGATCAACTTCCAATGACAAGTGGGATATCCTAGGGTCCTAGGGTCCTGAACTCATCAATAGCTTAATCAACGACCTGCGATTGGAACTGCATGCACACTGCCTAACCTACGCGGAGAGTTAAAGCTGTGGATTGAAGTACCCAAACTGGAAGAGGCCGACAGATTTCAAACCACGCTCGATCTGCTGCAGGTTTGGGCAATCAAGTGGCAGTCGCCAATTAATCGTGACAAATGCGTTGTTCTTCCCATTCGTGCACCCAGGCCTTTAGAGGAGTACTATCTCGGGGTTCTTGCTCTGAAAGGTCAACCAGGAGAGAGATCTGAGAGTGGTTGCGGCTGGTGACCTTAAAGCAATCGAGGACACTTAGAATGATGGTCGCCGCAGCCTACAGAATGTTTCATACTATACGAAGAGCCTTCTCACCTCTGACAGCAGCACGCTTCAGCCTATAGTTTCCTTAGAATGTGTGCTGAAATTTCGAGTACCGAGTTCATACTGCGCATCCCCTCGGCAAGTCTGAAGATAATGTGATCAAGAAGGTTCAAGGGCGTGGATCCAAAAACCGTTCCAGATTTGCGGGATTATACCATAGTTCTTCGACGGTTGAACCTGCTCCGTTTGGATTATCGTGGCCCTTCGCGGAATTATGATATTCACTTGACGTACTCTAAGTGGTGAACTGGGGAGTGCGCTACAACCGTCCTTTCTTCTCAAAACAAAGATTGCAACTCGAGGCCACCGGTGGTAACATTTGAAGCCGACGCTACTCAGTGCGCGGTAGAATAAGACTTTAGCAACCCGGGTAGTGAATGGCGGGAACAATTCGACAGGGTTGCTTGTCCATGTAGTGATAAAGGAACGTTTCAAACGACTGTTGGATTCCCACTGTATGAGTGCCCAGGGATATTTCTGCACCCGCATATGATTACAGCGGTACCCTGTGGAACCATGTTCCGCAATGATCCAAGCAGCATTCGCAATGATCGGGTGGTTCTGGAGCTGAAAAGAAACTTACTTCTGCTTGCTACTAACAAATGAACCAGCGAGAAAACCTGTGCATCAGACAAATAAATAAATAAAAATTATTAAAATTAGAAACAATGGTCAAAAGAACGCATGTCAAATAGTACATAAGTAGCGATTTTTTAAACACCTAGGCATTATAAAATTAATTCCTTCGCAATTCGCGGATATATATTTATGAGTATGGACATGCGAGCTCTCTCAAAGTGTGTAGCCTTTCTAGCCGCGTTAGTGCAGGTGTACCCAGCGACCAAAGCAATCTTCCTGCGTCAACACGTGGGACTGTCGGCCTTTCCCTTCGAAATTTTGATGCCTATTGACGTGGTTCTCTCGGTGCTTTTCGCACTGGTTTTGTGTGTAACTGCCTTTATCATATGGTTCTATAAGCAAACTAAAAGGAATATAATACTAATCTTAGGCATATGCGGCTCTGGGAAAACGACGCTGTTTACCCGATTGGTTTACGGTGATGCGAAGTCTTGCTACACTTCACTAAAAGAAAATCGGGGTACCTTTGAGACTAGAAAAGAAGTATATCTTTCAAAATTCTACTTCTTCAGAAGCTATTTATTATAGACATTCCAGGTCATGAGAAACTTCGATACGAATGCCTGAACAAATACAAGAGGGAGACTCGGTACGCAAGCATTGTATATTATTGTTTTAGCGCCTGCTTGTTTGTAATCGATTCACAGAACATCCAAGTCGAACTGAAGGATGTTGCTGAGTAAATGCCTTGTGCACCAATTACATCTTAGATTCTTATACGACATATGTACAGATGCCGACCTGACTTCGAGGAAGTCTAAAATTCTGATTGCCTGCAACAAACAGGACATCGCGTCTGCAAAGGGCTCTGTTGTTATCAGAAGCCTGCTCGAGAGGGAGCTGTAAGTAAAGCCTTACTATTTGGTCACCACTTATTTTCACATTAACATATACCAGCCATATCGTAAATACCGATTCAGTCGAACATATTTACTTCCTGTCTTAACCTTGTTGCACTCTCTATCCACTTCGGTGCTTGTACGAACCAACTCTGCGATGCTGAAACCTAAGCTTCATACTTTCGTTTTTGAAAACCGTTTCATATACTCTTTTAGCCACAATTTTACCACACAGTTTCAAGCAATCTGTAGCGATTTTTCGCTTACTTCTGAAGACAATGCCGTGCGGATCTATCCATCCCGGTGTTCCGCGAACCTGATAGGATTACTACGCATACCGACCACGGTAAGGCCTACCTTCTCGGCTAGCAGTATGCCAAAACCTTTACTCGAGACTCCTTTACCAATTACCGATTTAGAGGAGAAAGTTCCGGCAGGCTCTTTGTTGACAGATATCACCGTGTCAGAGGCCCAGGTGCGTTCACTGCTGCGAGAACTGAACCCTACCAAGGACGCTGGTGTTGATGCCACTCATCCGAAATTGTTATCTGAACTGGCAAATGAAATTTGTGACCCGTAACTTGCCATTTTGAAAGGTCTTACCAGTTACACCTTAACCACCGACTGGAAGGAAGCTATGGTTTGCCCCATCTTCAGAAAAGCAGATAGGCATCTTCCTGTGAACTACAGGCCTGTCAGTCTAAAATGTGTGCTAGTTAAGTTGCTAGAAAAGCTGGTGAGATATGCCCTCGAAAACTATTTAAGGATGTTTGCCCTTCTCATCCCATCTCAACATAGTTTCCGCAAAGGGTACTCCTGCCTGACCAACTTGATGATTGCTCGGGAAAGTTGGGCGGGGTCTGTCGATCAGTGTTAATCAGTGGTCAATCATTGCTATTCATTGACTTCTCCAAAGTCTTTGACTCTGTCCCACATACTCGTCTTTCCATTAAGCCCCGGTCCTACGGAGTTTCTGGCATGCGGTTCCATGTTTATCCGCATTTCTCGAAGGGTGAGAGGTGTGTTCGGGTGGACTCCAGTCTTCTTTTTCGACAGGCAGTTCTAAGCGGTATCCCGCAGGGATCAGTTCTTAGTCCACTGCAATTTGCTATGTATGTAAATTAGCTGCCAGAAGTGCTGGGGTTGCCTACCCTCATGCTGCACGGTGAGCGACCCCGATGGTTTTCAAGCTCTGCAACAGGCTGTTAACAGCCTGCTTGATTGGTTTTTGTGGCAGATGCCAATAAACTACAGCAGGTATTCAGTTTTGCGCATAGCATCAAATGGTCCGACAACGCACCACATGCTTGACGATAATGAAATCCCTCACGTATCCCAACAAATAGACTTAGGGATCACTTCATCTCAGGTCTTTAAATCCAGCGAGAACTGGAAGAAAGCGTCTTGCAGGAATTTTCGAACCCGTTGGTTGATCCGTAGATCATTTGTGATCTTAACGGAAGAAATATTTGTTAAATTTTTTACGGCCTTTGTTAGATCGCACCTGGAGTATTGCGTCTAGGCTTTTCCTCCTTACCTGACTCATAACAGGATGACACTAGAGCGGGTCTTGAGAATCGGAACCAAAATGGTCCACGGGTTGCGGCGCGCTTTCTATCCTGACAGATTGCTCAAGCTAAGGATGTTTTCGTTATCTTATCATCGTCTTCGTGGCGACTTGGTTCTCACTTGTCGTATACTGACAGGGCGGATAGGTCCAGACCTCTCTTGGTTTTTTCATCCTACACAGTTACCTACTCTCCGCGGGCATCCGATGAAATTGCACAAACTCAGATCTGATCGGGTTCGGGCTGACACGTTTGTCACGCCGTGATTGATTCTTGGAACGAGCTACATGTGAGCGTAGTCCTTTCATCCACGGTGACGAAGTTTAAACGTCGCCCTGACGCTCTCAACTTGTAGCTCCGAAACTTCCGCTTCTTCATTTAATTTAGTTTCTGTTTGCTCTCCGGCTATCTTCCTTTTTGTTCACTCTTACTAACTTCCTCTTCATTGTCCTCTTTCGTACCCTTCTGCTTTATATCTAGTCTACAATTTTCTTTTCATTTTTTTCTTTCACACGGCCAGCGCAGCGGGGACTGCTTGCGCAGGGCACGTGGGTTTTGATTGCTTGACCATGGTTTGATTTGTGCGTGCTGTTTTGGCTCCCACAACTGGCCGATTTTGCCACTCCATTCTAACGTGGATCAACGACGCATCCAGGATAGGGCGACCATGGGCATTTCCTTTTGTTCCTGTCCCATTTGAATTTCAATCATCTAACATTATGCCCCTTGGTTGACAATCATATACTACTGTCCACTCTGGGTATCCATCAGTTGTGATTGGTAAATTAGTGTCCTGTTTCCAATATTAGGGCATTTTTGCCTTGTCACCGAGTGCCAATCTTCCGTGGTCACCCATTAAAGTTACACAAACCCTAATCTCACCGGGTTGGGTCAGCTTTTCGTTTATCGCGTAGTGTCATAGGTTATTGGAACGCGCTGCTCACAGAAGTTGTAATGTCATCGACGATGAAAGGGGTTAGACATTGAGTTGACGCCCTCGGCCTGCAGTTTAAAATATTGCCCTTCACGCCTTAATCTTTTACTCGTCTATTACAGCTTATTTCTCTACTTCATTGTCACTTACATCTTACTATTACCAATGTAATTTGGTAGGCTTGTATTTCCTCTTATTTCATTACGTTTTCTTCACATGGCCGACACAGCGAGGACTGCTAATGCAACGCAGTTGGGCATAGTTTGATTAATCATGTAAATCGTGTGTTGACCTGGCTCTCTTTTGGTAGATCAATGCACCGCATTGATCTGTTGGCTCAAGGACGAGTTCAAAGGTGGAACTTTCACTGAATCTTCCTACTGTTCCGGTCCCAATTGAAGTTATACTTTTCCTAGCTCGTGTCAAGAAGGCTCAGTGTAAAACCTGCGGGTAGCTTGCGTTTTACTACTTCCCTTTTTGGAGCGAATTCCCTTCCATCGAAATTTTGCTACATTCTTTTTCCTGTGTTGAACCTATCTGCGATTGAGTTCAATTGACTACATCATGCCACTGCCGGCTAGTGAGCCTGAAACAGTCAGCAATTCCCGTGTATGCGTCGTTGAGCCAGGGTAAGCGCCGACTTCGGTTTCGAAGACGGAAGTCATTGCGCAGCTCAGTTCCCTGCCACCCATTGCTTCTTTTGTAGCACAGAACGATGTCCCACTAAACTAACTAGGTGTTTGGCACTGGCGATCGGTGACGCATGATAATTGGTTGGTGGGTTTAAATCTATGTGCAAGTTGCTTCAGTGGATTGATCCCCGTCTCGCTCTCTTTCTTATTACTGACTGTGTCAACCTAACAGGCCAATGAGCTCACCAGGGTGGATGAGATTTACTTGTGCGTAGATGGTAGAAATCTTCATCAATCAATAAGATTCCGCCGTCGGTTCGCCTGTTTTTGTCTCGTTCGATTTTACCGCGACTCAAAAGTCAACACATCCTATCTGCAACTATACTGTCGATAATTTCTTCAATTATTGGGCAAGAATCTGCCTCTGACTTCACAACTGGACTTAGCGACACAAATGATGGCGCCAGGTCCCACCATCGTTAGACCTTATTGTGGTGCGATAGGTGACCTCTCTCAGTCATCCACTCAGCTATGCTGGTGGGCACTTTTTACATCTCCCGTCACTTATACCATACCAATAGATGTTTAGAAACCAAACAAATTCATTATCATGATCCTCCAGGTTGCAGGTTAGTAGGATGCTTCCATCTTCTTTGAGACAAACTCTGTTGCTCAGTGGCAAACTCCAGTATTGGTCAACGTATTGGTCAACAGGCAACACACGAACATTGGCGACCCTATTGACAGATATCTGCTGCTTATCGGAAATCCACCTGCTCTGTGCTCACCCTGTTATTCCCTTCATGTGACACTGGCGGTAGGTCAAATCAGGTTAGGTCAGCCACTACGGACGATAGAGACTTTCGCCTGACCAACGTCCTGTTTCTTGTGCCGGCAAGTAAAAACAGTCCTCTGCACTTCCACGTTGGATTAGCTCTTGCTTCTGCATTAGAATGAAGCAATAGGAAGAGCGCTTTCATGTGTCAGTATCAGAATATACAACCCATTCCAGTATAACTACAATATCTGTTAAAAGGTCAGACCAACACTTATCTAAGCCCCTTTTGAAGGCTTATACAATTTCACATTCCACTAAATCAGGAGGAAGTTTACTCCAGATGTTAACCACACGGTTTGTAAAAAATTTCGCCCTTATTTCCAAACGAGTCCTATGTTGTTCGGGCTTCATGTGATGCCCACGCAGGTGGTCCGTTGTAGGTAACTCAAACAGATAGGCAGGATTGATACCACTGAGACCCTTAATGATCCTAAACGCCACTATCAAAGCTCCTCTCTATCTGCGCCGTTCTAAGAAAAATAATCCTAAGCTACTTAGACGATTTTCCTGCGACTTCCCTCGTTGAACTTCGATCATCCTGTTCGCAAGTTTCTGAATCTTTTCTCTACACAGCCTCACTAAGGAAATACCGTGTCAACGTCTGAATACAGTACTCCAGATGTAGCCTAACCACTGCTTTTCTAACGGCAAGAATATTTCTGTTTTAGTCCGTCGCAACGAGACTGGACCTTAACGTGGTGCGACGGTTTGCGTACCTCTGACCCATTGAGCTATACTGGGTGATGCCTCCGAGCATCTTGAGAGCTACTCCTACCAGGTTGGTCAATGGTGAGAGGTCAGACAAACTCAGTCTCCTGGTCCTCCAGGTTGGGGGTTTGAAATGGGATGGCGTCCATTTCTGTAAAACTAAATCACTGCCACCCCGCTGCCTTGCGGACAGGCTTTTGAGCCAAAGGCTTTGGATGAGGACCCTAATCGTCCTCCTGTCTAGGTCTGGGCGCCCTGGCAGTATCCCAGCCCACATACAACCATGACATTTTCTTCAAACATAAACTTCATCCTGCATCGGC